TACCACCTTTGATAAAGCCTTAGCCCATTGTCCCCTTGCCATGATGAAGCTTTGTCCTCAATAAGATGCCAATTGCTTCAGAAAATATCTCTTTTACTAGGGTGAATTCTTGTTACCAAGTGTTATGGTAACAAGAAGAATCAAGTGACATAATGGAGGTAAAAGCTGGACAATTCCGGATTTCCAGAGCTGTGGTAACATGTTGGATTGGATGGATAGGCAATACTTGTCCCGGTAGATAGCAGGTGTTCGACTGATCGTGTGGATCTGCCTGAAAATGGTGCCGCCCAAGTGTTCGATGAAAGGTCTGAACACAGCGTTTGAGGCAGGTGCTTTGTTTTGATTATGATTCAGAATTTTTTTCCTTTCTCATTTTAATTTTCCGTTTATATTTTTTTAATCCTCTTCCTCTGCTGCCAAGGATCAACGCCACTACCCCATGACCACTAACTGCTCCACATTTTGGTAAGAATTCTTTATTTTTCAATTCAATTTTAATTTGTTTTGGTGTTTGGGGTCGAATCTATCTTGGTATTTGGCAGAAATTTAGGTTTTTAAAACTAACTAAATGAGAATTTCAATTCTATATATGTTTCATATTGATTGCTGTTTAGTTTTAGTCTTAGTTTTAGATTTGATCTTTGGTTCATGTTTATTTATGATGAGTTATACGCTGAAGATCAGCAAGTAGTTGGTTGAGTCCCTCTTTATTTGGTTACAGGTCTGGTTTCTTATGAAAAAACATCTTGCAATTTGAAGATGACACAAACAGGGAAACACAGCTTCATTATCAATCTGATTTCTGTGTAGTGTGTTTCCTTGAACATAAGTGAGGCTACTTTCTAAGGTTAAGTACAGAAGGTTTAGCTTCCAAAGTTAATTTCACCTAAACCTAAAAGAAATATTAAAAGACTCGTCAAACATCAAAAACTCATTGAATATTTTGGCATCGTACTATTTTGGCATTCAACTAACACATCTTTGTTCTGATTTGGTAAATTGACTCATTATAATTGTTTTTGTGCCAAATTGCAGATCATATAGCCCTTATACTTGCGCATTCTAATCTTTTATGTACTGAATATGTGTTTTTCGTTGATCAAATTTCCTAGTCTTTGTTTTTGTCATATGTTTTTAAATTGTATTTTTTTGTGAACACCTTCAGTCTTGTTTTTCTCTTTCGAAGTTTTTGTTAAAATTTGTCCAGATGGTTGATGGGAGGCTGATTTTTGTTGAAGTTGCCCAGACTCAAAAACAGGAAGAGGATACCAAATCTAGATAATGACCTAATTTTTTCTCTATGTTGTTCAAGATGGGTTAACTTCTTAAGATTGAACATATATTATATTTACTATTGTATGCTCATCATTGCTTTGGTACTTCAAGTTTGAGAAATCTGAATACAGCTTCCTCTTGTAATGTCATTTTTCCCATTAAAAAAGAGAAGAAATGATTCTATTATACTTCAGCAAGTAAAGGTATTTTGAAAAATAACCAAAAGGTTTTGGCATATCTTTACTTTTATTGTTTCTTTTATTGGATAGTAATTACCTTGTTATCTAGTTAGATTGGTTGACAAATTCAGTTTTTTTGGTAGTTAGGTCTGTGTTAATATGAACCTTGTGTAATTTTTTTTCACAGCAATGTGCCTCTGTTTTTTTGGTAGTTAGGTCTGTGTCAATTGAGAAAAAATGCTAGCTGTGCATGTCCAACTCTCTACCCCATCACATGATCATTTAATTGCTAGTTTAAACATGAAGTGGGATCCAATTAATGACTTCTTGTTTAATTAGATTGATTGACAAATTAGATTTTCTTGTTCACCAATATGATTTCGTAAATTTGCATATTGGTTCATTTGAAGTGACAACATATCTTATGCAAATTTAGTACCTTGCACTTTTTAAGCTGATGTTCATATTTTGTGTTTACATTCT